CACTCAGTGAAAGGTCAGTGTAACAGCTATTGACTTAATAAAATGACGTATTGCATAGTAAATTACCTTTCTCGTAAATTACGATCGTAAACGTTTGTAGTTAAAAAAAGTTTAACATGCAATAAAATAAGAAAATCTACGTTGAGCCCGACAAGATTTTGGGATTGGAAATCTAATACACTTTTCCTCTTCAATTTGAGGAAATTCACACGAATAATGTATGTATGTGTTGGATACGTTGAAAATCGATGCCTAAAGCGCTTCTATACAAAATGACATATGAATAACCCGCTTGGCCAAGGAATTGCTGTCAATAGAAACTTAGCGCGGGGTGTATAGATATTTATGAGGCACGCCACGCGGTCAATTCGCCGAAGATGAATATCGTATCTAACAGATGTTACGCACTATAACGAGTACGTGAGTCTACATTATCACAAAATAAACATGATCATGCTAAAATCAAGTGGCAGTGGGTGGGGCACATAGCTCGTAGAGACGATGGCCGATGGGGCAGAAAAGTTCTCGAGTGGCGACCACGGGCTGGAAGACGTAGCGTGGGCAGGCCTCCTACCAGGTGGACCGACGATCTGGTAAAGGTCGCGGGAAAATCAGCAGAAAGGCAGCGCAGGACTGTTCATTGTGGAAAACCTTGGGGGAGGCCTTTGTCCAGTAGTGGACGTCATTTGGCTGAAACGAACGACCGAACGAAACATGATCCTTAAGCTTATAATGTAATTTTGTTTCTTGTAATTCCTTTTATGTTTAAAAAGCAATAAACGTTTTAATATTATTATTGTTATGTTTTCTTTATTTTTACTCGAAGTCCCTATGGTCTTCGGTTTTAACCATAACTCACGGGCTCATATTATTATTATTATTTGTACGCTTTGGAGCTCACGGGTCAAAAGTGGCCCGGTCCTTTATAAGGCTTGCGTGGGGATACAGATCCAACACGTAGAGGCCGTTTTAAGCGTAAAATAATCGACAAAAATGAAAGTGGTGCACATGCTGGATCTAGTCTCTGACTATATCATGGGATGTAGCCAGAGACCACCCCCAGCCTGTGCACAGGAGCTATTGCAGTTATTGGAGAACGGACTAGGGTTATGGATGAAGGATGGAGGGACTGGTTACTGGGCTATGGATGGAGACTACGGGTCACCTGCCTGGTTCATAGTCTCGGACTGAAAAAATGGCAGGCGGTGACTAGCCAGCGACTAAATGGGCCCCCCCTGGCGTCATGGGTCGTATAGACCGGACTGAGGGGCAACATTGGCGTCTGCCGGCTCAGGGGTGTAGAGAGGTGTGCTGCGCTTTCTCCGGAGTTACTCGCGGCGTTATGCCCTTTAACACTTCCACCCCTGGAGCATATAGCTCTAGCGACTCCACTCTGGCCGGCCGGTTAAGGCAAGCCAGAGGTGAAAGTCCTGCAGACCCTCTCGGATTCCACTTCGGCAAGCCGAAGACGAGGGTCTTGACCGACTCTCGGGAGCACTCGGATTAACAACTGGCCCCGTGGTGTCGCTACTCACCAACAGCTCGCCACAAAGCTGCCCTGCGGGGCTTATTATTATTATTATTATCCTCTTCCAATTCAGGCCATAGAGACAGTACTTCGAAAAGTAAATGCTTTGTGCAATTTTATGGTGCGTCATTAGATGCCATCGAAAAAGGGTATCATTGTAAAGTTTTTACTCGTACTTCAGCCTTTGTGTTTGCGTATCTATCTAAAGAAAATAATGTTAAGTTCCTACTCTAACTACCGATGACAGATTGCAGATAGTATACGAATAATCAGCAGTTCTACGAATTAGATGATAGTCTTTGTAATGCCATCGATTTGCATTTCTTATTGACTCTTCGACAAACATCGATTACCTTTGACGAGACTTGAGTGTAGACACACCAATCGTGGATTCAGGTAATGCAGAAATTGATTGGTTTACTCAGTCGCTGAAGTATTCGATAAACTATGATAATAGTTGAAATTGCTTAATCAACTGTTGTAGACCAACTGGTTTGTAGGTAGACCAGAAAGTATTTTAGGTAAGGTTTGTAGTGATGGATGCAAGTAGTAATCATCATAATGAAGTAGGTAATTGAGTATGATCACTACAGGAGTACACTTCATTCGCCAGAGACATAAGAGGATTTGGCCAACTTTCCTTTAGTTTATACAGCATGCAGCTGAATAACATTATAGGCTATAATTTAATAACGAACAAATTGAATTTTAAGCGGGCTAAGCCATGGGCAAAAGCTAGTATTCAAAGTAAGGCTTCTAGTACTTCTAACCTTATTTTTAGATTATTCCAAATTAACAGCTGAATTATTCTAGCCTGACACGTAGTATGGACAGGCTGCCGCACAATTTATAAACGCAGTAAGTACCACTTACTGCATTTATGATTGTTTTGAATATTCTGAATCCTGACATCGCGATCTATAAGAATCAAAGACCCGTTTTTTTCTATCTATCTTAGAACGGAAGATACATATTACCATAAACGCAGTAAAGAGCATATTTTAGATTTCTTCACATACTATGTTAGCAGTAAGAGCACATAATAACTTTATATTACGTGAATACTCGCACTTACTTAATTTGCTACACAGTAATAGTGCAGTATGTGCCAATTACATCATTCTTATTATGTTTCTACAATTGTTAAGTTCACCTTGCACATAGTATATGTGCAGTAATTCCACTTAAACACACACTGATATTATGTTTCCATAGGAAAAACAGATGACTCGTACTTAATATTAATGCAGTAATTACAATTATACTGCGTACATACTAAGGATTGTCAGAGTGCTGCCTAGGTGTTAACATGTTATGAACGCAGTGACTGACTCTTACGTTATTGGAAGAAGTTGAAAACCTGTCACAAAAATCTAGCCGAAGACCCAAGAGCTAGATTGACCCGACACTATCCTACCGAAGATATCCCGGACGTGTCTGTACGAGATTAGAATGGCTCTCAAACAGCTGAAAAACAACAAGGCACCGGGCGATGATGGAATCACGGCTGAGCTTCTGAAATCAGGCGGAACGCCGGTACTAAAGGCTCTTTAGAAGCTATTCGATTCCGTCATCCTTGAGGGAAAAACGCCTACGGCATGGCACAGAAGTGTGGTGATACTCTTCTTCAAAAAAGGCAACAAAACCTTGTTGAAGAATTTATTTTATACCCATCTCACTTCTGATTCTGTTTTTGAGAGTCATCATGAATGGTTTCACGCGACATCTAGCCTCCCGAACAAATCGGTTTCCGATAAGGCTTTAGTACGATAGACCACATACTTATCTATGGCAGAAAACTGAGGAGAATAATCAGCAACTTTGTCTGGCATTTGTGGTCTATGAGAAAGACTTCTCTCTTCAAGCTACAGTCTCTCCAACGGTGCCAAATTTACTATAGATATAATCGTTGAAGGGCTTGTACGAATAGGCCACAATGTCAGTCCGTCTCCGGGATCAGGACTTCAGTTGCAGCGAGGGGTCAGACAGGGAGATGTCATATTTCTAAAACTGTTCACTACCACTCTGGAAGATGTTTTCAAGCTTCTGGACTGGAGCGGATTGGGCATAAATATCATCAGCGAGTACATCACCCATCTTTGATTCGCGGACGATATCGTAGTCATGGCTGAGAACGTGGAGGATCTAAGCTCAATCCTCGATTGCCTCAATAGAGCCTCTCAACAAATGGGTCTTTAATGGACAAGACAAAAATCATGTCAAATGCCGTGCTGTACCCACTCCTCTGAAGGTTGGAGACACTATAAGTTGTCTGATGGCCGCTGGGGCAGGAAAGTTCTTGAGTGGCGACCATGAGCTGGAAGACGCAGCTTGGGCAAGCCTCACACTAGGTGGACCGATGATCTGGTGAAGGTCGCGTCAGGTGCCTGTATGCGAGCGGCACAGGACCGGTCTTTGTGGAAATCCTTGGGGGAGGCCGTTGTCCAGCAGTGGACGTCTTTCGGCTGAAACGAACGACCGAGTCTTTATTTTATTAGATTGGTATATTTAAGATCTAAAAGTGGGTGCCATATCTTAATTTTTGATTGAATAACAAGCGATCTCAGCAATTATTTTGTAATACTTGTTTCATTTACCCCTTGGTCATTTGGGAAAGTTCAACATGAAAGCGTTATTGGCTTATGATAAGCGCAGTATAATTGTATTATTACTGCGCATTTAAAGTTTTGATAAATTATTTTGATTCACACTCCCACTCATAAATGCAGTAAGTTGTAAAGATACGGCGCATATATTACGTTGTAAGAACTAAAATTTAAATCAATCATTTAACACATGTACCGTAAGTAACGAAAACTACTGATAAACGCAGTAAGGAACAATCATACTGCATTCATGGGTAGTAAGTATCGAACGAAAACTTAGTTAATCCATAATATAAACAGTTTTTTAATAATTTTAAATACAAAATATTAATTAAAATACAAAAACCTCATATCAAAATAAACTTTGAGTTTAGCTCTATAAGCCCATATATTTTTTTTTACAAATATTTGCGTAACTAATTGTAGACACCCCAAAACAAAATTTCAACTTTGATCGCGTTTTTCTCGAAACTATTCACGTGTTACTTACTGCGTTTATAAATTGTCCGCTGCGGACGGCCACAATCTGCTACTTTTCCATTCGTGGCAATGGCGACGGCTGAAAAGGTCATGATGGTATTTAAAACCTTATTCCTTTTCATAGCTAATGTTACTGGTGCAATGGTGACGTCACCCGATTGTGAATCTTTAAAATCGGAAGGTCACTGACTGACTCACTCACTCATAACGATATCTCAAAAACTACAAGTTCTAGGAGTATCAAATTTTGCACGGGGGTTCCTTTTCAAACGTAGGTGCTCACAAAGACTGGATTTTGCAACATTCAACCCCTAAGGGGGTGAAACGGGACCTACGCGTACTAATTGAATTGAATTGAATTGAATTGAAAAAATTTATTGTCAGACCGGGGTCCATAATAGTGTTAGTAACAATTTTCACTTAGCCTATGTTAGTAAGATACAAATAATGAAATATGAAGCCGCTTACATAGCACTGGAGACGTGCAAGCTAAGCCAGCGCCCCAGCAGCGGCGAGTCCCACCTGTCAGCCAATGCCCTCAGGATGCCATTTGTACTGCCGCGGAGACGCTCTAGGAGCGATGCGCTCCGCTTCCGAATTATCGCGTGGAAGCCGTCGGTGTGCGCTTCCGCAAACATGGTTGACGCGCTGCAGAACCGCGGCAGGCCAAGTAGCACCCTGAACGCATTGTTGTACTGCACACGCAGTGCGCTGTAAGCGCGCTGGGTAAAGCTGACCCATAGGCTGCACGTGTAAAGAGACTGGCAGTAAGCTTTAAAAAGCGTGATTTTTACTTCATCCTTACAACGCGCAAACCTACGTGCCAACATATTACAACGCACTGACAGCGCCCTGCGCTCCCTTTCTATGTCTACATTATCCTTTAAGTCATCTGTAACCCAGTGACCAAGGTATTTAAATGAGTTAACCCGTTTCAGAGGCATACCACAAAGTGTTAAGTGCGGAACTGATGAGTATGTTTTAGTCCGCGATTTGACTAAGTCGCGGGCCTCTAGTTGTTTACAAATATTTTTAGACATGATAATGCCTATTTCTATTTAAAGTTGTAACAAGATCACTAGACCTACTGTCATTGTTTTGAGGAATTGTGGAAACTTAGTCTACAGTAATTAAGGTGGCCAGCGCATAAAACTATACACTTTTGAACCAAATAACTTATTAAACCTACTTATGATGCTACAGTATTCATATTGATGTGGTTTTATCCGTGCCTTTTGAATAAAACTTTAGGTATTTCAGCTAAACATAGCACAAAAGGGTTAGGTTAGGGTTAAGGGTTGTGGGGTGCGATGGTGAGGGACCTCCACGTGGTGCACCCCGGGCAACGTCCGCGTGTTTTGTCACGCGGGCGGCTGACTCTTCACCTGCGCGGCAGGTTACGTCAACTCGGCGGGCCTGTCGGGCAACCCGTAACCCACAATGGAGTGGGCCGGGGGTCCTGGCTACGGAAGTCAGGACCAAGGCAAGGAAAAGCCTATAACACCCACAAGATGGAACGGTGGGGCAGCTGCGCCCGAAAGCAGCAAACCCAATATGGACAGTGTTAAGACTTCGTTAATTTCCCGGGCGGGTCCCAGCCAAGCTGGGGAATCCCGTGGCCGCTCAAAAGGCGGTCGGTCCCATGTATACGGGGGGGCCAACACTGCTCCGCGGCTTCGGCCGTGTTACGATGACACTCGCAATCAAAAATGGACCTGAACTTGCCCAACGACTTGGTTGATGTTGAACCGGAGGTGGAGGCCTGTGCCCCGATGGCACACGCCAACACCATTGACCCTAGCGAAACCGTGATGGACTCCGAGCTATGTGATCTGGATGTAGTCGAACTGGAGACGGAGGCCTGTGCCCAGAAGGCATACGCCGAAGTCGTGACAAAAGAGAAGCGCTTAACGGAAACGTCTGAGTGTTTTGGCGCTCTTCCTGCGAAGTCGGACCGCAGTACGCCTGCGGCAAATACGAGAAGTCGTGTGACTAGCACCTTTTGGGCAGCACAAGGGCTGACCCAGGATTTGGTGCTATCAGACAGTGACACGAGTACGCTTACAAATGTGTCCAATGAGCGGAAAAAACACCAAAAAAAGTCAACGTCAGTTAAACGGAAGGCCACCGACGACGTTGAAGATGACTGGGAGTCAGTTCTCAGTGACCAAGGAGGAGAAAAAAGCCCCAAAAGGGGATCTATAAAGGCGAAGCGAGGCCGTGGTCGAATTCAAACCACTGGCCGCTTCACAGGCGTGGGCGAGGCTAAGAAATACCTGGCAGCCGCCAAGAAATCCCAGCTCCAGTTGGATTTAGAAGAACAGGTAGCGCAGGATGAGCGCAAGACTAAGACGAGTAGGACTGGATATGGGTGTGAGCAGAGCCCAGATCTGACAGAAATGCCCATAAAAGAGTTGGAGCAAATAGCGGCGGAGGACGCACACAAAATTTGCGACCTAGCCAGTAAATGCTCCAATATTAAGGGTACTTTCCAGAAAGCCTTTTACAACCGAGCGCGTTCATTGCTGACGGTTGTCGCCGAACTGGGAAAGCGCTCGGTATCAGATGAAACAAAAATACTGCAAGTGACCGTGGACCGCCTGCAGACAGAAGTTAAGGAGCTCCGGGAGGAACTTACAAAGCTTCCGACCAAAGCGACAGAACAACCAGCCGAAGCAGAGCCAGTTTTTAAACCGGCTCCATCACCGGCCCGAGCGGGTAAACCGAAGCCAAAACAATCTGTTGTCGTCGCACAGACAGAATCTGACCTAGAGGCGACGATTCGTAAAATAGTCCAGGAGGAACGAACTTTTGTGCGATCTTGCTTAGCAGGCATTGAGGATCGTCTCCTCCCGGTTCAAATTACACGTCCTCCACTGGCGGCGGATAGTAAAAAGAAGAAGAAGGAGGAGCAGGGGCCCCCTGCTTCGAAGAACGTAAAGGGTCCGAAGGGCAAAGCCTCAAAAATACAAACGATCGTTCCATCCACTGCTGCTCCAGGGCCCTACGAGCCCCCTGAAATAACTCCTGATTCGTCTAGGAGCAAAATACTTACCTCATCGACGGCTGCGCCTATAGAAGACGCGTTATTACCTTCGACCACCCCTGCAAATGAGAGGTGGTCTGAAGTTGTTCGGAAAGGTCGGAAAAAGACTCATGCGAATACGCCAAATGCCCCAGTAAACAATGGCAAAGGCCAAAAGAAGGCTGCAAAATCAGCCAACCAGATGACGAGACACACTGCAAAGGCAACGTCCACACAGGCCCCCAAGCCAACAGCCAAGAAGGGCAAGAAAAAGAAGGCCAACCTGGTCCCCCCTAAAACCGCTGCGGTGGTGATCTCACTCACTGCCGAGGCTAAAGACAGAGGAGAAACGTACGAAACGGTCTTAAAACGGGCGCGCGATGCCATTGATCCCACCCAATTGGGCTTAGGGCCGGCCCGCTGCCGCCCGACACAAACCGGGGCTCGAATTTTTGAATTCCCAGGAACGGAAAATGACAACCAGGCGGATCTCTTCGCCGAAAAGCTCAAGGAGGCTATCTCGGACTCGGCTAAGGTGATCCGTCCGTACAAGACCACGACCCTAGTTATTACCGGCCTAGATGATTCGGTTAGCAAGTCTGAGGTTGTGGCTAAAGTGGTGGAAAAGGGAGGGTGTCCGATAGACACAGTGAAGGTCGGGGAGATTCGACCTAACCGAGGAGGACTAGGCGCTGTGCGTCTACAGTGTCCGGTTACCGCCGCCAAAGCCGTCTTGGATGGGGGTCGACTTTTGATAGGTTGGTGTTCGGTGTCGGTTAAAGCCCTGGAGGATCAGCCTATGCGATGCTTTAGGTGTTTCGGAATCGGACACACTCGCGCGCTTTGCCCGTCAAAAGACCGGACGGCGCTGTGTTATCGCTGCGGCAGAGAGGGCCATAAGGCATCCTCCTGTGATGCGAAGACGACACACTGCGCCGTGTGCGCGGACAGCGGGCGGCCTGCGGGTCACAAAATGGGGGGAAGGAAGTGTAATCCCCCGCCAAAGAAGGGTAAAGCGCAGGCAACGACCCGGCCTGTCGCTGCTGCGGCCACACGTACTACGGCTGCGGGAGAGGAAAGTGCCATGGTTGAATAATGTTAAGAGTCGACCATCACACAATTTTGCAGACAAATGCCAACCACTGCAGAGCGGCCCAGGACTTATTGTCCCAGACCATGGCTGAGTGGTTGGTAGACGTTGCCGTTGTCGCTGAGCCGTACTCGGTGCCCGGTCGTTGGTTGGGTGATCGGGACGGTTTGGTAGCTATTGTGCCGCGGCCTTCCACCGACTCCCCCCCTCTCTCGCTCTTAGAGAGAGGACATGGATACGTGGCCGCCGCGTGGGGGGAGATTGCACTTGTAGGTGTTTACTTCTCCCCAAACCGTCCCCTTGCAGACTTCGATGCCTTTTTAGATGCCCTTGGGGCAGTAGTGCGGAGGTTATCTTTGCGCCAGGTTGCTGTGCTAGGTGACTTGAACGCAAAATCAGAAGCATGGGGGAACCCTGCTACTGACGTTCGAGGCAGAGCCGTCGAGCTGTGGGCGGCCTCTTGTGGCCTATCGCTCCTTAACAGGGGGACGGTTCACACGTGCGTGCGACAGCAGGGAGGGTCAGTAGTGGACGTCTCGTTCGCCACCCCTACTCTAGCTGCACGTGTGCGCAATTGGAAGGTAGACCTGGTGGAGACACTGTCTGATCATCGGTTCATCCGATTTGAGATAGTATCCTCCCAGAGTCAACAGAGAGTGCCCCGATCGGAAGTTTCCCCTTTTCCAAGATGGGCGTTAACCCGCCTGGATCGAGAGGTCGCTAAGGAAGCTGCTTTTGTCCAGGCATGGTTTGAACCGTCTGTGACGACAGTAGACATCAACATGGCAGCCACCCACTTACGGGAATCTTTAACCGAGATATGCGATGCCAGCATGCCTCGGTCACGCCGTCCTCCGCCTCGTCGCGCCGTTTACTGGTGGTCGGCAGAACTGGCAAACCTCCGGGCTTCCTGCATTACGGCTAGAAGGGCCTTTACTAGGAGCCGGCGCCGCCGTTTTCGTGACCCGTCAAACGAAGCCACGCCTCTATGCCACATACGTGGAAGCGAAGCGGGTATTCAAGGCGGAAATCGGCGCTGCCAAAGATCGAGCAAGGGCGGAAATGCTGTCCAGTTTAGATGACGATCCGTGGGGGAGGCCGTACAGGGCAGCCAGAAATCAGTTGCGCCCAATAGGCCCACCACTAACTGAGACACTAGAGCCAGCTCTGCTGAACTGTGTGGTACAAGGCCTCTTCCCGAGGCAGCTCGCTTCCTTTACCCCACCGCCAATGATTGACAGGCTAGTCAGCCCATCTGTAGAAGAGGCTCCAGCCATCACCAACGGAGAGTTTGGCGCGGCAATATTGAGAATCCGCGCCAAGAAAACGGCCCCCGGTCCGGACGGTATTCCGGCTAAATTAGTGGCTTTGGCATCCTCTGAAATGGAGGGAAGGTTTCGGGAGCTTTTTGACCGATGTCTAGCAGTTGGGAGGTTCCCAAAATCTTGGAAGGATGGACAATTATGCCTTATTAGAAAAGAGGGGCGTCCTGCCGACTCTCCTTCGGCATACAGGCCAATTGTCTTGCTCGACGAGGCGGGGAAACTGTTTGAACGCATCTTAGCGTCCCGCCTCGTCAAGCACTTAACGAATGTTGGACCTGATCTCTCAGAGGCCCAATACGGCTTTCGGGCAGGGCGGTCGACGATTGATGCCCTGTCCCACTTAAAGGGCCTTGTCCGGCAAGCGGTAGACGCAGGGGGCGGGGTAATGGCTATATCCTTCGATATAGCCAATGCCTTCAACACCATTCCCCACGCCACCATTATGGAGGCACTCAGATACCACGAGGTGCCTCAGTACTTGAAGGATTTGCTGGCTGACTACCTGTCAAACCGCGAAGTTTTGTTTATAGACAAAGTCGGTCAACTC